ATGGTCGGAGGGATGAAGGGCGGCGAGGGGGGGGGGGCGTGCTATTGTGCCTGTGCCTGTGTGTGGTGCTGCAGGAGAGGGTGGGTCGGTCGGGCGGGGGAAGCCAGGCGCACGACCTTTTTCGAGAGGTGGCCGTCCGAAGGTGATGGTGTCAGGGAGGGGGAAAGGCGGTGGGTGAGGGCAAGGAGGGTAAGGAGGACTCACGTTTACCATGATGTGGCTGATTCATGATGGTGTGGGTGTATGTGGGGGAGAATAGCGTCGTTGCTGAAGCAGCAGAAGCTCCCTGCGTGGCAGCCTGTTCTTACGCCGCGGGTGGTCATCATCGGCTTCCTCGCCGTTGGCCTGCTCTTTGTCCCGCTCGGTATTGCCTTCCTTGCGGCAGCCAACTCGGTGAAGCAGGTTGAGGTGGACTACACGCAGTGCAATCCGGCGACGGCGCCGAATGGCATTCAGAACTGTACCGTCTCGGTCGCACTGCCCGAGATGAAGGCGCCGGTCTACGTTTACTACCAGCTCACCAACTACTATCAGAACCATCGCCGGTATGTCAAGTCGCGCAACGATGCGCAGCTCCGCGGTGATCCGCCCAAGAAGTGGAGCTCACTGGAGGACTGCCTCCCGCGCATCGCCGTCAACGACGACAGCTCGGAGAACAACCCGTCCGAGTGGTTCCTCCCATGTGGACTCATTGCCTGGTCGCGGTTCAACGACACGTTTGAGCTGACTCCGTCGGGCTCGTCGACTCCGCTGCCGTGGGTCAAGGATGGCATTGCGTGGTACTCTGACGTGAAGGAGAAGTTCCGCAACCCGCCGCCGACCGCACCCGGCCGCCGCCTCGATCCGCCGGTCGACTTTGTTGACCAGGACTTTATTGTGTGGATGCGGACCGCCGGCCTCCCGTCGTTCCGCAAGCTCTACCGCATCATTCCCAACGACATCCCTGCAGGGCTCTACACCTTTTCCATCCAGTCCAGGTTCCACGTCCTGCCCTTTGGCGGAACCAAGGGCCTCGTCGTCTCCACCGCCTCGTGGATGGGTGGCAAGAACACCTTCCTCGGCACGGCCTACATTGTTGTCGGCATTCTCTGCCTGCTCATCGGCGTCGCTTTCCTTGCTGCACAGACTCTTTTCCCGCGCAAGCTCACTGGCGACTTTTACACCCTCTCCGAGTAAACTCCCTGCTCTCTGCTACCCTGCGCCAGCCGCACTCACGCGCCGTCGTCGCCGGCCACCTGCCCGGCCATTGGATCCTGCGCCCGCGAACGCCCGCGCTGCCACGCCTCAAGCTCTGCAGGAGTCACCTCGGTGTTCTGCATCGAGAGCGGGACCTTACGCTTGCTCTCACGCTCCGCCGAAGCCGACCGCCGCCGCTTACGCTTGCTTGTTCGCGACGAGCCGCTCCGTCGCGACGACCGCCCGCTCCGCCGCGACGACCGCCCGCTCCGCCGCGACGACCGCCCGCTCCGCCTCGATGACCGCGACCGCCGCGACGACCGCGACCGCCGCTCCGAGTACGAGCCCGAGTACGCTCCCGAGTACGCTCCCGAGACCGAGCCCGAGTACGCTCCCGAGTACGAGTTTGAATACGACGGCGAGCGGTGGCGACGGCGCGAGCGATGGCGAGATGACCGCGACTTACTCTTACTCTTGCCCTTGTCCTTGGCCTTGCCCTTGTCCTTGGCCTTGGCCTTGGCCTTGGCCTTGGCCTTGCCCTTGCCCTTGCCCTTGCCCTTGCCCTTGCCCTCCAACGCATCTTTGGACGTGTCCTCGCCGACGCCAGCCGTGGCGGAATCATTGCTGGGAGCAAGGGCGGTACCAGTGCCCGAGCTCGCGGAGGCAGACGCGGCGGCCGGAAGGGCGCGCGGCGGGAGGCAGACAGCGTTGCGGATGGTGGAGCGGCAGCACTTGTAGCCCCAGCGACCGTCCTCCCACCATGAGCCCCAGATGGCCGTGTGGCCGTTGACGACGACGTCCTCGAGGTACTTGGACTTTGTCGGGGCGCGCTCCAAACCCTTTTTGACGCGGCCGTCGCGCGAGTACTCGACGTAGTTCTCTGACTGAGAGAAGAGCAGGTCCGGGTTAGGAGCTGACGCCGCCGGGGCGCCCGTTTCAGAGCCATACCGCTCGAGCAGCTTGCGCTTCTTCTCCTCCTCGAGCTTGGCCTTGCGCTCCTTGGCGCGCCGGTAGAGGAGCTCGGTCTGCGACGGCAGAGCGACCGGATTGACCTCCTCATTGCCGTGGGCGCGAGCTTGCCAGGCAAAACGCTCCTGCTCACGGTGGGCAGCCGCGTCGCCCGAGGCCCGTACAAAGTTCTCGCCGGCAAAGTCAGTCTCTTCCAGCGGCTTGTCCGGGTTGGGGTTTGACGGCATTGACCGTGACTTGGGGTCGTAGTGCGCCGAGTTGAGCGAGAGATTGTACAGGTACTTGGCTCTGTCCTCGCGGATGCGCAAGTGCATGACCGAGCCCTGCCCGACCTTGGACTCGTAATTGACGGTCTCGCCGACCAGATCCTTGTCCTCGTCGTCGCCGGGCGCAGCTTTGGCAGCGTCAAGCTGCTGCGCACGGAGCTTGAGGCGGGCCTCCTCCCGGCGCTTGTGGCGCTTGATGACTGCAGCATAGTCGTCCGGATTGAACCCCTCCCACCGATCGTGCTCGCCGTCCCAGGTCGAGAACTTCTTGTTGACAATGATCTCGTCTGGCGCGAGGTCGAGCCCGGTGTGTGCGGCGCCTATCTTGCGCGGACGCTCCACACACTCCTTGGCCTTGTGGGTCATGGCGCCGCAGTTTGTACACGCGCCCTTGCGGAACTTGCGCGGACGGGCGGCAACAACGGGCCTGCGGACGGCGTTGACCTTGCGGGTGGGCTCGATGGGGTCGGCGATGCGGAGCACATTGGGCGCCTTTTGATGCTTGAGCGACGGGCCCGTCGAGCCAATGTACCACGGTGCCTTGGACATAAACTCAGGAATGTGCGGGTTGATCTCATTGCCATCCTCATCCACCTCGGCCGGCGCCTCGCCTGCCTTCCGCGCCGCGTCTAGCTCCTGCGCCTTGCGGTACTCCTCACGGGTCAGCCGCTTGTTTGACATCCTTCTTTCCCTGCTCACAACAGTGGGGGGGGTAGAGGGGGTAGAGTGGAGTGTGGAGTGTGTGCGTGCCGGAGGGGGGGAGGGAGGGGGCGGAGGGGGGGGGGGGGGGCGGGAAGGGGGAGGGGGGCGTTGTGTCGTTGGTCGATGTGTGATGGGCGTGACGGTGGGGGGAGGAGGGGGCGAGGGGGGGGGGGCAAGGGGGGAGGGGGGCTTGTGTCGTTGGTCGATGTGTGATGGGCGTGACGGTGGGTTGGCGGCTCGGCTTCCGAGCGACGACAAAGCACTCTCGGTCGAGTCGAACTACGGGTGCATGGGTGGGGACAACTTTTACGCTCGTTTGGGTGGGCATGCGCGATGAGACACTTGGACGCGGAGCGACGGTGCTGTAGCGCGATGTCGATGGAGGCCGTGCAGAGGGCAACGGGATGACAAGACAAAGGCAGGCTACCGCCGGCGGGCGCGAGCTCGCAACTTGCGCCGGATCTTACGCTCGTCACGGCCAGCGGCACCGCCCATGGCGGCAAAGAGCTCGTCATCATCCATAAAGTTGACTTGGTCGAGTTGAGTGCGGAGCTCTGCGGCCTGTGCGATGAGGGCGCGGGTGCGTGGATGGGCAAGGCCGTAGCGGGCGTTGAGGATGGCAAACGCGTTCTCAAAGTGCAGCAAGGCGCGGACGGGATTGGCAAACTCAGCCGCGCCCTCGTCATCAGAGACAAAAAGTCTGCCAAGCATCGAGTGTGTGGCCGCCACCTGCGGAGCCTGATCGCCGTACACCTGCTTTTCGGTCTTGAGCAGTCGCATCAGCATCCGCAGCGCAAGCTGGTGGTCTGGCACCAGCATCAGCACCGCTGCGTGCTCCTTGAGGCATCGTAGCGTCTGTCGCGCGCCGTCGCCAAGCGACGCCGCAAACCGTGCATGTGCTTCGCCAAGATACTTGGCCGCCTTGCTCGCTGTTTCAGCTGCAGAGAGCGTCCGCGACGCCGCCTGCCGCCGCCGCCGCCGCATCAGCCCCAGCAAATGGTGACTCTGCTCGGGGTCAGAGTCCGAGCCTGGCGCGGATCCAGAGCCCGAGCCCGAGCCCAAGCCAGGCCCCGGTCTGCGCTCAAAGCCATCAATCACCTCGATCTCGAGCGTGCGGGATGCAGCGAGTCCAGCATAGTGGACACCGAGCTGGTAAGTGAGCTCGGTCAGCTGCGTGGCGACGAGTTCGTCGACAGCCTCAGCCCGCGCCGACGGGGCGTCGAGGGTGGCCAGGACTTGCGACGCCGACTCGGCGGCCGCGTGGGCGGCGACGTAGTGGGCGGTGACCACCCACCACGGCGCATCGTCTTCGGCCTTGACATCGCCAAGCTTGGCTTCGACGTCGCCGAGTGACGAAAGGAGCGAGGCGTTGGTGAGCGTCGCCTCGGGGTCTCTTTCATCAAGCGCGCCCATCTGCTGTCGCAGCAGCGGCTCAGCCCGCTCCAGATACTGCGCGGCAACTGCGTACCGACCGCGGAGCTCGGCGGTCTCGGCCAGGCGGACAAGGACGTCGTAGCACGCGAAATGGCCAGGCCCGTGTAGCGAGGTGATGGCGGCTTCGGCAGCCTTCAGCGCACGCTGCGCCCGCGACAGGTGATGCTGACCGAGCAATGCCACTCCAAGCGCAAGCAGCAGGTGCGGATGCATGAACGCTGCGTGTTCCGGCGGCAGCTCGCGGTTGATGCGCAGAGCATCCTCGGCGTGGCGCTGGGAGGCCTCCCATTGCGCGCCGGCGGCGTGCGCCAGTGCCAGCTCATGATAAACATCGCGGACAAAGGCCGAGTGCCGGCCGTATGTCACCCGCCCGAGCGCAGCGGCCTCGACCAGGCCCTGCACGGCAGCGCGAGTGTCGCCGACGTCCATCGCCACCCGCGCTGCGTCCATGACGCGGGCGAGCTTTGTCTCGCCACTCACCAGTCCCGCGCCGACCACCGATGAGCGGCGGCGGTCATAGACCTGCAGCGCGACGTCGACGTCGTCCGGGAGGTCCTCATTCCGCTGCAATGCGGCCTCGGCCTCTTCGGCGAGAATGTACAGCCGGGTCTTGGGGTCCGGCGCCACCAAGGAGCGGATAGTCCGCCGCCGCGGCTCACGCCCGCTCTCGCACGGCGACTCGGGCGCAACTGAGAGTCGTCCCAGCTGGCTCTCCTCGCACGACTCGTAGCCTCGAGCGCCGTGCATCGCTCCCGCCGAGCTAGCCGCCACACGCGCATGGGCTGGCGCAAGGGCAGGCACCGTCTCCGGATGCGATTCTGACGATGACGAGTCCAACAGTGCAATCTCGTCGCCGTCAAGCGGCAGCACGGCCTCCAGCGCGGTGATTGCGTCGACCGAGCCGGCATCACTCAGCACCGACAACCTCCGCGCCCGATGTCTGTGCTTGCCGCGGTTGGCGACACTGCCGCTGGTTGAGCCCCTGTCGGTGTCACTGACAACAACAGCAGGTGCCGGCGGCCGACGGGTTCGAGCAGCACGCGAGCTCTTTTGTGCGTAGACTACCGCAGCCTCGAGCTGGTTGGCCAGCTTGGACTTGCGGCTTTGCGGGCGGCCTCGACCACGGCCTCGTCCGCCGCGACGAGCACGTCTTCTGCCGCGGGAGCCCCGGCCACGGCCTTGTCCACCGCGACGGGGACGGCTCCCGCCACGCATTGTGCCGCCACCTGCGCTGGCAGGCATGAGGAGAGGTATGGGTGTGGGGTGCCACTGGCGCTGGATCGGTTGGTGGGCGGTTGGGTGGGGGTGGGGGGGGAGTGCGGTGGGTGGCAGTGCGGGTGAGGGCAACGGTTTGGGAGGTGCGATTGGGCAGGGGCTTGTACACGATGTGGGGGAGGAGAATGGGAGGGGGAGAAGGAGGGGGAGAAGGGCGGGGGGGGGGGGGTATGAGGGGGATGAGGGAGGGGGGGAGGAAGGAGTGTGTGAGAGATGGTGCAAGGTTCGCTTTAGCGACCACCGAGGTTGGGGCGGCCAGCCTTGACGGTCTTGGCGGCCTTCTCGGCGCGCTTGGCCTTCTTGGCGGCACGGCGCTCGGCCTTGGTCGGCTTGGCGGAGGCACCCTTGGCCTTGGCGACGGCCTGCTTCTTGACGGCACGGAGGTCGCGCTGGGCCTGGACCTTCTCGCGGATCTCGGCGAGGGAGGCACCGACAAAGCCACGCTGGAACTTGACAACACGGCGGGACTTCTTGGCCTTGAAAGACGAGAGGTTGCCCTTCTTGTGCATGCGGCGGAAGACCTGCGTCCACGCCATCTTGCGCGGGTTGTGGCGCATGTTGTAGTGGGCGCGAGCCTTGCGCGAGCCAAACTTGAACAGCCGGGCGTCGCTGCGGATAAAGGTCATGCCCTTACCCGGGTAGATCTTGTGACCAGAGAACGCGCACGTCTCAACCTTCATCTGTCCTCCACACCGCGTCGTGTCCGCCTCCTGTGAGTCGCCTGTCTCCCTCTTGCGCTCTTCCCCATCCTCACCCTCGCCAAGCCAAGCTGCTGCTGCTGCTGCTGTCGAGCCGGCATCAGACAAAAACTGGCCGAGGCCGACCACGACTGCAAACTGTCTGCCAGAGACAGACACAGATAGCCACAGCAGCATCCACCAGTTGCAGAGGGACCATGGCGCGGCATGAGCACACGCTGTGGTGGTGATAGGCGTGGGTGGGTGGCAGCAGCAGCCACAGCGACGGTGTGCAGGGAGTGTGGCCGAGGTGGGTAAAAAGCCAGCCGAGATGGCCTCAGCTGGCTCCCCCCACCCCGACCCAGGCACCGGGTGACCACAGCAGGCCATGTAGGGCTAGCAATGGGGGATAGGGGATGGACACCTCGGCAAAGTAGCTCTCCTTGGTACCGCTGTACAGCATCAAGGTCTTGCCCACTTTGCTGGGTGGTATCCCCGTCAGGGAAGGTGGCTCCATGCTCATACGTACTCTGTCGGAATGTGAGAGTGATGCAACACGGTGGAGTGAAAAACAACGCGAGCTCAACTGGCCGAGCCCATTCGCTCCGCTGCCTCCAATTCGACCAAACGAGCGAACGAGCGAACAAACGGGTTGGCCAGACGGGGTACGAGCGAAGAGGGGAGGGGTGCATACATGGATGGAGGATGTGCTGGTGATGTAGGAGGGGGGGGGGGGGGGAGGGGAGGGAGTAGAGGAGGTAGAGGGAGGCATGTAGTAGCGTTCAGTCATCGAGGATCTCTCATCGGTGGCTGGACTTCCGATCGGCAAGGGCCCAGGGAGGAGGGGGTGGAGGGCATCGGGGGCGACGGGGCGGGGGAGGGCAAGTGGCGGTATCGGTAGGGAGGGGAAGGGCGGGAGAGGCAGCAGTCCGACTGGATTGGTCCGCCATTTTGGTCAATCGAGTTTGAGTCGTTTTGGAGGGAATGAGGAATGATGTTGGTTCAATTGAAGGGATATGACGAATGGCGCACACACACTTCTGCAACCATGGTATGTTGACCGCCAGAGACAGACGCGGCTGGTAGTGAGGGAGGAGACCACCTATGGTGTGGTTGTTTGCCATGCTGGTGAAGGTTAGGTACAAGTAGCTCCTTGGAGAGTCTTGTGCTTCTACCGCGTCTTCCGCTTGAGTATGCCCCCGGTGTCCACGCCGTCCGGGAGCTCCATTTTTTGTCGGCCTGCTTTGATGCCGTCACTTTCCCCCGCCTCGGGCCCCCCTACCACCGGCAACACTCCCGCAGCACTCCCCACACCCTCCAGCTCTTGCCCGCAAGGTATCCATGCTGACCACGGAGAGGTTTTGCAGTGTCTTTGTTCCTCCTGCTGCTGGTGTGCCGCCCTTGCGGCCTCCCCGCCGTCGGTCGAGCGATTTTGTCTGCGTCACCTCGCGGGACGGGGCACTCGGGCCACAACTCCCGGCCCTACAGCAACCCACAAGCAGAAGGCTGCCCGTCACGAGGCAGACGAGGTAGCGAGGGTGGCAGCGGATGCAGGCGTAGCGTTCTTCTTGGAGTGTGTGGGTTGGGGCAGGAGCAAGGGGGGACGGGAGCAACGACGGTGCGACTCACGGATGGGGATGGCGTCGATGCGGATACAGACCAAGGGTACTTCGTCGTTTGGTAAGCGCCACACCAAGACGCACGTCCTGTGCCGCCGGTGCGGCCAGCGCGCGTACCACGTGCAGAAGGCCACCTGCGCGTCGTGCGGCTACCCGTCGACCAAGATGCGCAAGTACAACTGGTGCACCAAGGCCCACCGCCGCCGCACTACTGGCACTGGCCGCATGAAGTACCTCAAGCACATGCCGCGCCGCGCCAAGAACGGCTTCCGCGAGGGTACCCAGGCAAAGAAGGTCAAGAAGTCCGCGTAATGAACGCTCTGACGCAAGCCCATGTGTGTATGAGGGGGAGGGGGTGTAGCCAGTACGACGACAGCCGCAGTGAGCGCAGCAGAGTAGCAGAGCCAGGGCAGATGTAGGGGAGGGAGGTGATGGTGAGGGTCATGCTGGTGATGGTGAGGGTCGTGTTGGAGGCACACACACCTCTGAGAGGTGCAAAGGTGACGATCGTTTTGATGACAATGACGATGACGATGGTGGTAGTGGGGCGCCCTTCGGCCACCTCCCCCCCCCCCCCCCCCCTCACCCTCACCACCAACACCCACCCCCCCACCCACCCGGGCAGGAACCAGAATTTCCGACATTTTCGCAGGGAAAGAATCTGAATCGAAAAACGTCGCCATCATCCTTAAACACAGATCAATTTTCATCGCCATCTGCACTGTCGGTTCTTC